TAGTTACCATTGCATTAAGGGCAATAATAGAATTACCTGACTGGATCAAGTTTACGTTGGGAGAACTGTTTTTGATTTGTTTTGCTTTCAAGCATTTACGAAGCATTTGAAGTTCTTCTGGTCAAATGGTTCTCCATCATCACTTCTTCCTCGGAGGAGGTGTGGTGGCTCTTTCCATCTTGCGTTGTTTCTGTCTCCTTGGGGGTTGGTTTTCCATGCAGTTTCCAGTATTCATCTCTGGTGTGGCCCTTCTTGTTACAGTGATTGCACCACTTGTTCCCTCTTCTTTCAGAGCTCTCTGATGTTTGGGAACTTCTTGTGGCTAATGTGGAGCCATCTATTGGAGTTTGGTTACCTTGAGTGAGGTGTCTCCGGCTTTCTTCGAACTTAACCATACTGAAGACTTCAAATAGGGATGGAGGGGGTTTTAGACCCATAATTCTGCCTCTCACTTCTTCAAAAACATCATTCAGGCCCAATAGGAAGTCATAAGTTCGACCTTTTTCAACTAGTTGTCTGTAATAATTAGCATCATCAATATTCTTCCACGGATGTACTTCAAAGAGGTCCAATTGCTGCCATATCTTTATCAGGGTGCTGTAGTATTGTGTTACAATCAAGTTTCCTTGCTTTAGATCCTTGAGTTGCCTCCTCAGATCTAACAAGGCAGCAGTGTTGTCTAATGTAGCGTAAGTGCGTCTAGCAGCATCCAGATCTCCTTGGCTGTGCTTGCAAGGAGGTATCCCTCACTAATTTCGAGAGTCATTGAGTTGCATAGCCAAGACATCACCTGATTATTTTCAGCGAACCAGGTGTCAAAATTAGGATCATTATGTGCCGGTTGTTTTGCTTCTCCATTGATATACTTCTCCTTATGCTTCCCACGTAGATACATTAATACACTTTGAGACCATTGAAGATAGTTGCTGCCATTTAGTTTGTGAGCCACCACCATAGCTTAAGGTTCAGTGGCTGTTGTCAAGTCTGACACTGAATCAGATGTTCTAGAGGGGGCCATTGGTGAAGGAGAGTTACCTTGAGTATTTGAGGAGGTGCTGGACATAAGGGCCATTGGAATGGTACCTTTGGTGATTGGGGTATTGCGAACAGACCCAAAAAGAGGTGGAAAATCTGATGGGTTCATCTTCTGGGCCGAAGAAGATCCTACGATGGCGCTGGCGACGGCGCGTGGGCTTCACGCGCGGCTCCGTTTGACGCCGGCTTCTGGGGATGCGCTGATCGGCGGTTTCCGGTGAGAATTGGAGGGGCGGTGTCGGTCACGTCCTGCTTCTGGCTTCAGATCTGAGGACGCCTCACTCTCTCTCTCCTCGCTCTCTCTCTCTCTCCGTTTTCCGGCGGCGTTTTAGGACGGGATTTTGGGTTCAGACCGAACCCACTGCTCTGATACCATGAGTAATTATTTTGAGTAATTCACTTATATATTATTTCATATGATAGGCTACAATATATAGAGTCTGGATGGGAGAGGGAATCCGATTACAATCAATCAAAATTGAATTACAATTAATTAGAGATATAGTAGCACATAATCAGGGATTGATCTTGTAGCTAAAATCATGGGTAGAGATCTGAGAATATCATGGGCTTTCTAACAGTAGCTCATGATAGAAAAGTCTCTGTAACTCATGATATAGAGATCTCTGTTTCCTCACGCTTATGCATGTTCTTCTTCCTCAATTTTTTCTTCTTCTTGTTTTTTTTTGAAAACACTGCGGCACCTGGCTGTGTCCCATGACTTGTTAGAAACTTTTTGAGTTTGGCTGGATATTGATCCTGCTTGGTTGAATACAAGAAGCCCCCTGAATTGGTTTTTAGGTTATTGGTTGGGGTGAATTTATTAACTTTGGTGACTAGAACAGATTTTATGGAAGGTGCTTGTTCTTTGTTCGGTTGAAACAGGAATTGAGATGCATAAAAGTTGTACAGTATAGCTTTCTTAAAGAAACAGAGTGGGAAGAAAACACAGTATCTCTTGAATCTCCTTGCTTATACACTCAAAATATTCTTTTAAAAACCTTGTGCTGAAAGCATCACATAGATTATTTGTTTCATGTGCTTTTTATTTTTACTGTGTTTTATCCTTTTTCCTCTATCAAAAGGATATCCTATGGCCTTCTGAACTAGTATTGTATATTGCCTCCCGGTTTATGATGTTTCTTCTGTGATATTACCTCCCGGTTTATGATATTTCTTCTGTGATCCTGGTAGAAACGTGACTAGCATGCTTTTATGGCATGCAGAATTCAAAGTTTCTTCAGTTTGTGTCAAAGATGAGCCGCGGTGAACTAATTATCGATGAGAATCAAGTGAAAGAGACTGCATTACCTGCGTCTGGTGATTGGGCTGCGGAGTACCAACAACGTTTTGACAATCGACATACTTGGGCTGATGAATTTTTAAATAATAAGGCATGTATAAATACAACTATAGTGTAGCCATTTTGTTCGTTCTTTCTGGTAGTAGTTTAAATCTGTGGCATATATTACATTAAACATATTTTCTTAAACAATCCCCTTTTCTTTGGAACAACCACTATTCCTTTGCATAATGCGCTTAATTTTCAGAATTTTTTTTTTTTTTTGGGGGTTATATTGGCCTTTACTAGAAGGAAGTCAATGAGGAAACTAAACGAAGTTATAGCATGGAGTTCTGTGGTAGACTATATTTCTAGATGGTTAATTGTTGATAGATGGGGATGGAATTTTGGCTGTCATTCTCAGTTTTGAGTAGGAGGCACAAAATGAGTTTTGGTGTTTTTATGAGTTTAGGGGTTGTCTGGCTTTCAATTTCTTTATGAAGAGATTGCTAACTCTTGTGCTCATCCTTAGTAGCAGGATGATTTTCTTTGCATTTCTATTGATGTATTAGATTAGTGTTGTGTTTTTTGTGGAGAATGCCGGATGACTTGAGTGATCTCTCATACACCAAATAACAAATGCTGTTTTTCAGACAGATTACAATAATCTTCTGCCTAGAGGCGGTTGTTCTCTTTTAGACTAGTTTTGATGTAATCCAAATGGGTCATATCCTCGGTTCTAATTTTATCACTTCCATTCTCAGGAAGGGCCTCTTTTGGATTATCGTGTTTAAGGTCTTCACTTGTTACTTAGTGTTGTGTTGGACGTTTTGAAAACCATTGTGCTTTTATTAAACTCTTGACAATCAATCATGCAAGTTCTTGGAAATTCATTTGATTACAATTATATGTTTTTGGTTATGAATTTTAAATGATAAAAAAAGTTTCAGTTCAAGCTATTTTAATTTACACTAATCGAATATGAGGTAGTAAATTATTCCTAGTTATTGATGTAGTTTTGGCTGCTTATTGTGTTTTAGGTTTCAAATGTACCTGAACAGTGGGCAGATGAGTTTACAACAAACGAGAAGCACATATCAACTGATGATCAGTGGGTAAATGAATTCTCCAAGTTGCACGTTAATGATTGGGCAGAAGAATTTGGAGCGCAGGTTGCTAAAGGAGTGTTTGGAGAGAATTCTGCTGATGAATGGGCACAGGCATATGATGAGTAAGTTAAATTAATTGCCAATATTTTCCCCCTTAAACGAGTGACTCAAGTATAAGTCGTTCTCTCTTCTTCCCAGAGATGCCTAAATTACGTGGCCCTGTACTCTGTTCTGAAAATGTACATAAACTTTTCCTACAAAAGTACTCTCAAGAATAATTTGATTTATTTTATCATAACTTGTCAAAAACTGCATATCTTAAAATTCTAGTTCAATGTTACTTGTTTATCATGGAGATCTCGGCCTGAAATTGATCACAATTTGTTTTGGGGATCATTTGAAGGTACATAAATGAGCAGGTTGCTGTTAGGCAACGGCCAGATAATTCAAGGGGCGTCTATGTCTTTTCAGATTTGAATCCTTATGTTGGCCACCCCAGTCCATTTAAAGAAGGACAAGATCTATTCAGGAAAGGACTTTTAAGTGAAGCAGTGCTTGCTTTGGAAGCTGAAGTCTTGAAAAACTCTGAGAATGTACAAGCATGGAGATTGCTTGGTATTGCTCATGCTGAAAATGATGATGATCAACAGGTTCTACCCTCATTGATGATAAGCCATGAAATTTATGTTTATATTGTGAACTTTATACCCTCAACAGGTTAATCGTTTTTTAATTTTGCCATGTTACATTAATCTGTCACTGTGCTTTAGACATTAGAGAATTCACTTTAAACGGTAACTTACTGTTAAAGTCTCCTCAGGCTATTGCGGCAATGATGCGTGCACAGGAAGCTGATCCAACAAATCTCGAAGTTCTTCTTGCTCTTGGTGTTAGTCATACAAATGGTCAGTGACTGCATGTTTCCTGTTCCCGGATAAATAATGAAACATTGAGCAGAAAAGTTAACAAAGGCTCAAAGCTCGTTAATCAACCATGCTTTTAGAGTAGACCACTACGTATTTCTAGGTTTCTAAACATTGTTTCTTACAGTGGCTTAAGGTTGAAAGTACAAGGATATTAAATGTTTTTTAATTTCATTTTTTTTTTGCTTTTACCTATTCAGGACAATTCCTTATTTTGCAATTCATTAATGTTTCTGTTAATTCGTAGTTGAAAGTATAGATGAGAACAGCTTGTAGACTTTTATATTATGATTCTTAGGTCAAAAATTTTAAATTTATTCAACCACACTTGCAGAGCTGGAGCAAGCTGAAGCTTTAAAATTTCTATATGGGTGGCTATGTAACCACCCAAAGTATAGAACACTTGCACCACCAGAGCATCCAGATTCTTTGTTTTATAATGATGTGAGTGGAATCTATTTCTTTCTGATGTTGTCCATTATTATTATATCTATTTATTTAGTTTTGCAATTTGAGAAATCGTCATACAGAACACACAATAGTAAGATGTAAGCCTATTGTGACAGTATGGCAGAAATGTGCTGCCTATGTAGTTGCATCATCAGATCTAAGCTCATTGGACTAAAACTTGGCTAACTGCCATATTAGCATTTTAACAACTTCGCAAAGCATGACATTTGTTTAGTCCGAATTCCATCTTTGTAGTTAGAATTTTGCAACTAGAATTAGATTTTCTGTCGTACTTATTTCTTCTCCATTTAGTTTCACTTAAATGGCATGTTAGTTATATCTCAAGCTAAGAAACCTCGATAAACTAAAAATATTTGTAACAAAAGCCTTCCCTTATCAAGATTTTTCTTATGCATTCTTTCTATTCTTGTTATACTTTTCATGGTCCCAGGAAGATAATATGGGTAAGGGAAGAGTTTTGAAATGTAGTTGAGCTATAACTTATGTGAGTCCTCTTATTTATAGGGTAGATAGCAGGCAAGGTGTAAAGGGTTCATAACTGCAAAATAATATCTCGTAAATTTATAATGTTATCTCTCAAAACTGCAAAATAATAGATTTATTACCTACAAATCATAGCCCACTAATCAAAGAATAAATCAACCTAAATTTTAGGTGATCTATTTACTCTCTAGGGCATCCCTGGCATCCCTCAAGATTAGAGCGTAGAAGTCGTGCACCAAGCTTGTTACAAATATGAAAAGTCCATGGTCTACTTAAAGCATTAGTGAGAATATCATTTAGTTCATTGAAATTGATGTAGCTAGTGATGTTTATCCTAGACTAGATTGCATCATTTCTCTGATGAAATGACAACAACAAATTTCTCTATGTTTAGTCCTCTCATGAAAGATTAGATTGGAAGCTGTAGCGGAGCTTGATTCTACATATTAATGCCCTTTTGTTTAGATCGACAAATTGAAATTATTGAAGTAATTGTTTCATCACTCAAGTTCCCACGTTGCCAATATCATCGCACGATATTCAGCTCCATACAATATAGCTATTACGTCTTTTTCCCTTTTGTGGTTTTTTCCCCCCCAAGATGCTATGTATCCTTCAAAGAAGATTCAGTAACTCTCAGGGGACAAACCTTTTTCTAGATGCCTTAAAGTCATATTTGAGAATATATTTCATTCCATCCTAGCTATTGGGGTATGGTGACTGTAAGAATTGACTTATCTACTCTTACAACAAAGGACATATCTAATTGAGTGGTTGTAATATAGATTAATCATTCATCTATATCTATCTAGTTGCACTGACGAGAGTAATACTAGTTTGCTCAAAAAGAAAAAAGAGTAATAGTAGGAAGTGAAAAGGAGGAATATCAAACATGAGAAGTGTCATAGGTGTAACCAAACTTGTAGCACTAGGTATAGTGAAGACTTTTTTCTGATAACATTCTCCGTGGTTCTGTCACCATGGTCCCCACTGGTGTTTGATCGCTGTATTGTGAGGCAAAAATGGAGACTCCTGATGGTACCATATCATTTTATAGATTGGTCAGCTGTTGAAATCTTAGGAGAAAATTATGTAGGGAGATGCTTGGTCAACTGTGGCAGGGTGAGATGCTGGTGGGATGATGTTTTGAGCTGCAATCAATGGTCAATGACTAGTTGGGATCGCCTAGGATGGTTAGTGAGGCATGTTTGACAATAAGAAATGAGACATTGCAGTTGAAATGATACTCAATCACTAGAGAGGGAGGCCAACAAAAAATACTGAGGCTCTAATAGTTTAGAGAATATGGAACAAGGAAAGAGTTTGAAATGTAGAAAGCTTTGGCGCATGAGACTTCTTATTGATGTGAAAAATACAAGATGAAGCATCAAAAGCTCATAACTACAATATAGCATCTCATCACTATAATGTCTCTCATAAGTCCTGATTATAGAAAGATATCTCTATTAATTATACAACAGTATAGGAGAGATTTAAACTGTAGTGGCTGCATTGCTTACAAGGCCAATGCTTTTGCTCAATTCTTTTGGGGAGTTCTGGACCCTCCTCGATGTTTTGCCGCATCTTTACCAGTCCTCCGGTCCTCCAGTGTATGTTCAGCCACTATTCCAACTATCATTGATTATTCTCTATCCACTTTTCTGGTAGAGCTTCAATAGCTGTTTTGGTGATTCTCCAGCTGCTTTGGTTTATTCTTAGACTCAGTCTGTTTCCTTTGGCTGTGCGTCATTCTAGTTGCTCTTTTCTCTGGCTGAAAACAATCTATAATGAAGTGAATAAAAAATTAATCATCATGTAGCGCTTAGTTGACTTCTTTCGTTTCCAGCTTGTGTTTTGTTGGTTAGAATTGGGGAAGATTGATTTTCTTTTCTTGAGCAGGTTGCCAGATTATTCAATGAAGCTGCTGTAATTGCACCTGATGATGCTGATATTCACATAGTTCTCGGGGTCTTATACAACTTAACTAGGGATTATGACAAAGCCATTCAATCATTCCAAAGAGCATTGAAACTTAAGCCACAGGATTACTCTCTCTGGAACAAGCTTGGTGCAACTCAAGCAAACAGCGTTCAAAGTGCTGATGCTATAATGGCTTATCAACAGGTACTTTTTATAGAATTAATCCCCATATGGCTTCATTAACCTATGAATCGTTTTGAATGAGGTGATTTCAGTTTAAGGGTAAATTACACTTATTCTAAAACACTTACATATCAGTTTCTCTCTCCACTTGTGCACTGGATGATAAATACTGTGTCTGCCCTTTCTTTACCAACTCACTCTGAACATCTTTTTGGTTCGTATTTCCCTTTTTCTTCACATAATTATCACTACTAAGTCCATTAGAAAACTATTAAACAAGAGACTATGCAGTTTTCAAATTAACTTTTGGTTCTAGTAGTATAAAGGAAAAAAAGAAGTCAAATTCCTTATTTTTCTTAGTTTTCAGTTTGAGTTATTTTGGTTTTTCTAAGCAAATATATATCAGTGCTTATCCTTTACCTCTCTTTTCTTCATTGGTCAAATGTAAGGGGGTTTTGACTTTCCTGCTTCTAGGCTTATAAATAGATGTGGCCAGGTTTTGGGGATGCAGAATTAGAGCAGACAATGAGCATTCATTCCCTGCTTCTTAAGCTGTAGAAAGCAAAATACATTAGTTATCTATATAACAAAACGGGAAATGGAAGATTAACATCACCCAGAAGTCTAGAGAAATAAAATTTATGTATAGAAAGTTAAATGAAAACTTGTGGACGTGAATAATAAAATTGACAAAAACAAATTCATTTAAATCACTTCACCCAAAATTTCATTCATGAAATTCAAAATCAAAAACTACATACTATCTGATATTTTTTTTTGCCTGAACACGCTATCTGATTTTCTAATAGTAGACATTTTCTAGGGTCGTCTTTAAATTAGTGAGTGGTGACTTTTGACATATAGACAAATAAGACTGGTCTAATAGCCGTTTTGCTTTGGTTTTTTTTATTTTTAAAAAAAGTCTTTTTTCTTTTTCTTGTGTATTATTAGGTGAACATGATTTTAGTAAGCCAAATGTTTTCATTAACTTGAGTTAACTTCACTAGAATATCCCATTAACGTTAAATAACTATATCATTTAGAATTCGTTGTGGTGGAGCATAGCCGTTAATCATACCCAACTTGTTACAAAGATAGTCAATCTGAGCCCCATTCAAAGCCTTAGTGAGTAGATCACCCAATTGATCACCAGATCTCACATAGCCTGTAGAGATGAAGTTTTCTTGATCTTATCTCGAATGAAGTGGTAATCAATCTCAATGTGTTTTGTGCGTTCATAAAACACAAAGTTGGAAGCTATATGTAGAGATGCTTTATTATCACACCATAACTTTGCCGGCAATGAAGTTTTGAGACCAACTTTCTTCAACAATTGATATATCCATGTTATCTCACACATAGATTGTGTCATTGCTCTGTATTCTGCTTCAACACTAGATTGGTATACCACATTTTGCTTCTTGCTTCTCCAGGACACCAAATTTTCACCTATAAAGACACAATATCCTATAGTGGATCGTCTAGTAGCTTTTAGATCCACCATGATCCGCATCACAAAAGCATTCAATATCTATTTGACCATGATTCGTGTATAATATACCACGACCCGGGGATCCCTTCAAGTAATGTAAAACATGCTCTAAAGCTTCCAATTGATCAACAGTTGGTGATGCCGTGAAGTGGTTGAGCACACTAACTAAGCAAGTTATATCTGGACGAGTCACCATGAGATAGTTCAACTTTCCAATTAGTCTCCAGTACCTTTCAGGGTTTTCAAATGGTCTGCTCTTATCAGCATCAAGTGGATTTTCAGATGGTATGCTTCCCTCTGCATCTAGTAGTGGATTAGGAACCATAGGAAAACTACTTGGTGTAGCTCCTAGTTTTCCAGTTTCTTTTAGCAAATCAAGGACATATTTTCTGTGTCAATAAAATGCCTTTCTTACTCTTCATAACTTCAATACCTAGGAAGTACTTCAACAAACCCAAGTCTTTTGTTTGGAAATGAGAGTGAAGAAAGGACTTCAATGATGAAATCCCTGAGACGTTGCTACCTCTAATCACAATGTCGTCAACATACACAACTAAGAGAATCATACCAGCATCTGTTCTTTGACAAAACACAGAGTGGTCCCATTTGCTTTGACTCATGCCGAATGTCTAGAGTGCAGTACTGAATTGTCAGACCATGCGCGGGGACTCTGTTTTAAGCCATATAGGGATTTTCTTAGGCGACATACTTTCCTATGCTCCCTCTAAGCAACAAAGCCAGATGGTTACTCCATGTAGACTTCTTCAATTAGATCACTATGCAGGAAAGCCTTTTGATATCCAATTGGTGGAGTGCCCAACTATAAGTAGTCGCCATAGAAATGAAGAGGTAAACAGAAGACAACTTGGCCACAGGTGAGAAGGTTTCAGAGTAATCAACTCCATAAGTCTGGGCGTACCCTTTAGCAACAAGACGAGCTTTAAGGTTGTCAATAGTACCATCGGTTTTTGTTTTAACAGTGAACACCCATTTACACCCAATGGCGTTCTTTTCCATAGGTAGATCCACCAACGTCCAAGTACCAGATTGTTCTAGGGCTATCATTTCCCCTTGCATTGCATCACGCCAACCTTGATGAGCTAAGGTTTCATGGAGTGTTCTCGGAATAGTGATAGAATCTAAGCAGGTAACAAAGGCACTAGAAGCAGGAGACAAATGAGTATAAAAAACAAAGGACGAAATAGAATGGGTGTAAGTACGTGTACCTTTCCGTAAGGCAATGGACAAGTCAAGTGAAGGGTCAGGCACTGGAGTAGGATTTGGCTTAGACTCGGGGATATTCTCAGGAGGTGACTCAAGAGTGCTCACAACAAGATCTGTCGATGAAGTGGAAGATGGAGGGCCTAGATCTGAGTTGGCAACATTAAGCTCCTTGGGGTGCCTAGTATAAACCTGGGTGGGAGGTGGTTGAACTGGGGCTTGAGCTAGTGGCGGAGGTGCTTAAGTCGGTGACAAAAGGACAGGATAGACAAAAAGATTATCCTCCTCTTCAAGAGGAGAAGGAGAGGAAGTCGAAAAGTACAGAGTAGACTCATGAAATGTGACATCTGCAGACACCAAATAAAGAAAAACATCAATATCCCTTTTAAAGTCTAGAGTACCCAACAAAGACACACTTGAGAGATTTGGAAACTGTAGGTCGCACATCTTGGACAAAACAGACACATTCAAAAATCTTCGGATTAATTGGAAACAAGGGTTTCGAAGGAAAGAGTCGTATAAGGAATGTGACCATCAAGAACAGAGGAAGGCATGCGATTAATAAGAAAGCAAGCAGTAGAGATGGCATCAGTCCAAAAAGGTTTAGGAACCTTCATTTGAAACATAAGTGCCCGTGCTACTTCAAGTAAGTGTCAATTTTTACGTTCAGCAACATTTTGAGTTGGAGTATCTACGCATGATGATTGATGGAGGATACCATTCTAAAGCATATAGGATTGAAATGAAGTAGAAAAATATTCTTTGGCATTGTCACTTCGTAAAGTGCATAAAGAGACTCCAAATTGATTTTTAACTTCAGCACAAAAGGTACAAAAGTGAGAAAACAATTCTGAATGATTTTTCATTAAATATAACCAAGTGGTACGGGAATAATCATCCACAAAAGTAACAAGGTACCGGAAACCAACTGTGGACTCAATTTGACATGGACCCCAAACATCAGAGTGAATTAACTCAAAAGGAGACGCAGCTCGTTTATTAACACGAGACATTAGAGGGAGGCAGTGATGTTTCGCAAACTGACACGACTTGCAAATTGAGGATAAATCTTTTCAATGGAAGACAAAGACAAATGATCCAAACAATAATGTACTTCAAAGGGATTTAAACCACTGGAACAAGCCACTGAGCAAGGCAGCGTATCTTTAAGAAAATAATGGCCACCAGATTCATAGTCTCTACCAATAATCTGCTTCATCGTAAGATCTTGAATCAAGCAATGATCAGAAAAGAGTGAGACAACAATTTAAACGGCAAGTGAGTTTACTAGAAGAAGATTATACGCAAGGTCAGGAATATTTAGCATGGAAGATAAGTGAATAGAAGGAGTGGGTTCAACAGTTGCCAGAGCCAAGGACATGAGAGTATGAGTTATTAGCGATTGTGATGCTAGATGCGTTGGCGTATGAGTTATAAGTGGAGAAGAGATGACGGTTACCTATCATATGATCAATGGCTCCTGAATCTATGATCCATTTATCATTATTACCTGTAGCAGCAAGAGCACTCATAGTTGATGAGGCAAATTTTAGTGATTCTTGATACTTGGAGAACTAGGCATACTCAGCAACTGAAACTAGAACCTGGTCATCAGTTGATGATGATGCCACCAATGCGGAATTATTCCTTGACTACTTGTTTTGTAGCTTGCAACAAGTACATTTTGTATGGCCCAGCTCCTTGCAGTAATAACACACTATTACACTAGACACCTTGTTAGCTTCCCCGTGCTTAGAAACACCACGGTTAAATGACCCACAACTATCAGTTTGACCTCGACTGATAAGAGCGCTTGCAGGAATACTAGTAGGTAGTGATGAGAGGTTTTCAATCCTCATAACACGGGAGAAGACATCCTGAAGACTAGAGATCTCGAATCCAGATGAGATCTAGGAGTGAACAGTCTCATATTCTGGTGGAAGACCAATAAGAAAGCTCATGACAGCCATTTGTTCTCGTTGAACTTGCTGAACCTTCAAAGCAGTGATGAGGGGCATTAACACATTTAACTCCTCATAAGTTTGTTTGAAATCCATAAAGTAAGATTTGAGAGGTTGGTCCTTCTTTTTAGCACGATAAAAAGCTTTGGCAAACTTCATAAGCAGGAGAGATATTTCCTTTCCCCGAGTACAAGAATTCTAAATAATCCTTAAGTTCTTTCACAAATTCACAGTGATTCACAGAGGGAATGATCTCACTATCAATAGAGTTGCGAATTTGTAAGAATAGCCGTGCATCATCTCTTAACCATGCTTGGCGAGTATCCGTAGTTGGAGGATCTTTTGTCAGATGTTCTTCCTTCTCAATACTTCGTAAATAGATACAGATAGTTTTTCTCCAATCCAAAATGTTTGTCCAATTCAACTTGTGATCAGTAATCTTGCTAACAACTGAAACAGTCTCAACTATAGACTTACTTTCAGCCATGACTAAACAAAATGCACTAAACAAAAATGAACAAAAGATTGTGCAAACAAAAGTGTCAAACAGAATTGGAATAATACCAAAGACTAGCTGGAGAAATCAAGTTGACGTTGGAGAAGGAGATTGCTGGCAAAAACTTTGTTCCACGCGCTTATACGAGCGACAAAGCGTGAAGGAGCGTTGCTGCTTAGGGGGGCGCATTAGCCTCACGCACTCGTCGGACGGCCACGAAACTTCAGGGTAACGTCGATCAGCGCCCTCTGTCCCTCCTGAGCAAGCGCATGTATCAAGAATCGTCACAAGGCAGAACCCTAACTCTCTCTCACGCACTATATCGCACTATACAGGGCAGACACTCTACTACTTCTCACGTTCTCTCAGCTCTGATACCATGTGGAGAATGTATGAATATAGAATGAATGTTTTCTATATCTTTCAGAGAATGGTACAATGACACACACACACACACACACACAAAGGTAAAGTCTATATTAACTATGTTTAATAAGTATAATATCTTTACAGATCCCATTAAACTCGAATCCTAGACTAGCATGTGACAAAAATTGGTGCTAACAAGAAAAAATTCCAGAAAAGTCTGAGGGGGTTAACCACGCTTATCATAGCTTTCTATCTTTTAATCCAGACTGCGAACAAAAAAATTGACAAAGTCTTTAACTTTTGAATATCCTTGACACCTAAAAAGCCTTTTTATAGGGTGAAATACTTCGCTGGATGGGAGGATAGATGATAATGTTTTCAATTAAGGGCTGACTACATTACCTCTTCATATGTAACTTTGTCATGATTAGGATTGGTGGAAATCATTAGTGGTTGGGGAATGCATGCGTGTTATGGGTAGTCCTTGCAGCCATGCTTAGTATCAGCTGGGCCTTTGTTGTGCAGAGATTTGCGTGACTTCTTTTTTTCTTTGTTGGCTTATTCTCATTGAAGGATTGGAAAGAATATCTTGAAGGATACTCTTGGTTGAATGAACTTGTGGGGAATCAATTAAGTTGGCATTAGGAGTGAGTAGGAGTTTGGGTATAGTTAGGCCATGGTTCTTGGTGTTACTAGCATTCTTATGGGCAGCCTTATGAGGAGCAGGGTATAGTAAGGCCTTCAGTAAGTTGCTTGAATTCTTAAATTGGTTTCCTCAAGTGGCAAGTGCTTGTGGGCTTTTGCTGTCTTATAAGATAGAGGACACTATGAGGATTATTCTTAGAAAGATATAAGGTTTGATGGAGTAAAATTACATGAGGAGAGTTGTTTTCTCTGGGTATATTGAAGAAAGAGTTCAAGTGTTTAGTTTGAGGAAATTACAAGAGATCAAGACCTTCATGCCCTTATTTAGGGGGTTCCCACTGTTCTTATAGACAGCCTTGTGGGGAGAGCTTGTTACTGTTAGAACTTCTGTCAGTGGGTTCGATTCTTGAACTGGTTTCTTCATGTGGCAAATGCTTGTTGGGTTATGCTGTCTTTTGATCTGGAGGACGTTATGAAGGTTACTCTCTATATAGAAGGTTTTATTAGGTAAATGTAAAAGTACGTAGTTAGTGCCATTCTCGTGATGGAGCAAAAAGGAGAAAGAGAGTCACAAATAAGAATCCAAGAAAATGATATGAGCACCGAGGAAATGAAAATAAAATATATGGACACTAAGGATATTTTTTCTGAAATATGATTGGATGTATTTTTTCATTTTTTTTTAATTATTAATATTTTCATTAGAGCTCAATTCTGTCAGGATTTCAGTTCTCTTGGGGTATATGCTAAAAGATTGTTATTTCTCCTCTCTCCCATGCAATTACAGTAAAATCAAAGCAAGCTTCCTTGAAATTTTGGGCTCTCAAGTATTGGCAAACACTTATTTGCCCCCGTATATTATTCTATGGTTGATATCATAAAGAGTTGGTTGATTTGATTCCAGTTTTGTAGTTTTCCCTTTTTTCTGGTGATCCTGCTTTCTTCTCTCTCTTTTTTTTTTTCTCAATTACAAATCCTACCTTTCTTTTCTGCTTTTGATGGGATTTTGAGTTTTCCTCTAACAGTGGAATGAATTAAAATTACATTCCTTTGTCGTTAGTTATATGCTTGGTCCTCAAATTGATTTCTATAATGAGTTATCTTGGTTTCCAGGCTTTAGATTTGAAGCCTAATTATGTTCGAGCATGGGCAAATATGGGAATCAGTTATGCAAACCAGGTGTGTACGCTTCTTGGGTTTTCGCTTGTTATCATTGTCAAATTTTATGATGTTGGAAGGAGATTCAAGATTCTCTTTTCCTTTTTAGTTTTAATTTGTTATTGATGCATTAATATGTATGCTGAACATGCTGATGAAAATCCATGGCAGCTATGTTGGTTGAATCTGTTTTAGTTCTAGATTTCAGAGTTCACCACGAAGCAAGAGGAGGTGGAGTGTGTGAGAGTTGTGTGCTACATTTGAATGCTCTATGCAGAGAAAGATGATTCCCCATCATCCTCTCGTCTCGTTGTCCTTTTTTCTATTTAATTGAAGTCAGTAGCAAAGCCTTGCTCTGATTAGAGAAACCATAAGTTTTTATGAAACAAAAAGTCATGATAAAGAAGTCTGCATGATCCAAAAGACACTCTTTTCGGTCTTTATATGGGTCATTATTCTTTATTTCCCATAGTAGGCAGTAGTCTGAAGTCGCAAACTTCAATATGAATTAGCCTAATAGTAATGCAGAAGCTTGGGAATATATTTTCATTATAGCATCATTGTTATTATGAACAAAACTTTTATGCAGTCTCTTATGTCTTTAGTACCAGGTTCTTCAATTAAAAGTCAAGTGTATGATTCTTTAATAATTAGGATTACAAGCATATGGATTTTGCAAATAGAGTGGTTTTCCAAAACTGTACAGTTGCCATGTTAATATTGTAGAATCATAAATTTGTGATTAGAGAATCTGATATGACGAACTGCACTTAAATTATCTATGATTATGGTGTTGAGTTCACCGTATGCTAATGTTTAACGTGTTGCATAGATAGAGCTTCTCAAGTAAAATAAGCATATGATAAAACTCTTTCTTCATATGAACTCTGCAATTGGACGAGGCAATGCAATGAGTGGAACAAATTGCTGATTTTTTTTCTAAATATGACTCAAAATTCAATGTGTTTAGCAGCATGAAACTTTGCTTACAGCTTTGATTTTCCTTTTTTTGGGTGTGACTTCATCTTGTGAATTCGGCTGAATAGGATTTTCTCCTCCTTTAGGGCTTGTATGATGAGTCCATTAGGTATTATGTTCGAGCACTCGCTATGAATCCTAAAGCTGATAATGCATGGCAATATCTAAGAATCTCTCTGAGGTATGATTTCCTCGTGTGTTTCTTTTGAAATCATTTCCTTGTGTATTTTAACCTAAAAGTAAATATGCGGATATGAAATGGGTAGTCATAGACTCATAGGAGCTATGATCCTTGGTACGTCTTGCGGATCTTTGTAATTTTCATTCCCCCCCCCCCCTACTTTTTCAGTTGTGCTTCCAGGAATGACATGCTGGAAGCTTGTGATTCACGAAACCTTGACCTTCTCCAGAAAGAGTTTCCACTACAGTAAATTTTGCTCCGAACGATTTTACTTTTCAACTACAGAGGTGGGGTTTGAAATATGGATCGTCTTTTGCTTTTAATTGGTTTGAGAACGTCATTTTGTTTTACATTTTCTGAAATTTAATCCCATACATCAATATATTGATCTGCAGAGATCTCCGAGAATGTTGCACAATCACAGTGACTGCACCTACAATACTAGATGCTGGACACAATCCTTTATTCTTGGAACATCGGATGAGATCTGAATCCAGTTAAGTATGTGGATCCATGAAGTAATCCAGTGTAGTAACACAAAAAGTTTTTGTTCTTTATATATTCTTATTTCATTCCAATAAAATTCTCTCTATCTCTGTAAAATACATTTAAACACAAACACTTGACTGGATCCATGTGTTAAAGGTGGGCAGGGGAAAATGTTAGTGCACATCATTGTCCAGCGGATTTAGGTCAAATTACTGAGTCACTTCTGAATATTAAACAAAAGTTAAACACTGAAGAACAGCTGCAGTTCTGAAATGTGCTAAAAGTTGGGTGATGTGGCAGTTCCATTATTACGTTATCCTGATTATGTATATAAGATGAGGTCTGTAATTTCACCTCAAGTGGTACTATTCGAGTAATTAGTATGTGAGATAGAAGTTGTATAGGATGATGAATTTTACTCCCTTGAAATATGGTACTGCATAATTTGTTGCAGGTTTTAATCAAGCTTTTTTTTTTAAAAAAAAAAACATTGTGTTAATTTTGAGAGTCATTTTCCTTTTTGTTTGAAAAGTGTTTAAATTACATAATTTTGTTTTAAAAAATCCTAGGCATGGGGCATTTGTGGACTTACTGATTAGCCCCATTTGTGGACTATCTCAGTGATGTCAAAGCTGGAGAATTAGAGTATTCAAGCTGCTTATAGTTGGGGAAAACATGTGAATTGATCATAAATGGTTCGATGGAAGAAGGAAACATGGTGCAACAACTTAAAATTTAAAAGCAAATTGAATTGTCAGAACACCTCTGTTTTTTTGAACCAAAGACAAAATGATACTAAAATAAAAAAAGCAAAGTTCACAAAGTACGTATGAGAATAAACTAAACTGAAAAGGATTTAAAATGAAGAAAACATTCTTTAGAAATAACATTAAACTTATAATAAGAACAATTGTGAAGAAGTGCAAGGTTCACAGAGTAAGCAGAAATTTTATCATGTTTATCTAATATTCTTCCAATTATTAATATAAAACTTATTTAACTAATTTGATTAGATTAAAAAAGTTAAGTAAGTTAGTTAATTATAAGAAATGTGACGCGTTTTCTTATTAAGGACCGGAGGAGTACTTATTGCCAATAAATTCAAATATCCTAACACAAGCCACCTCTTTGAGCAGCTCATGCATATTCTCTCGTCTTTTTCAATGAAAACAATTTTACTACTAATTAAATAAAAGGGAGAATTGCAATGAGGTCTCAAGCAAGGAAAACAATTAAAAAACAAGTCCCAGAAGTTGTTATTCTCCCTATAAGACTTGTCATTATAAGCTGTTGAGATTGTTATTGGGAGTTTTTGGTAATTATTTTTCTTCTGTGGGACTTGATTGTAATTTCCCCTAAATAAAATTTTATATATATATATATATATATATATACCTCAACGCCTAACCGACCAAGATAAGCAATTGTGAGTTTAAGAACAAAAAGGCAACAAAAGCAACGAAAAAATAAAAAGCCCAACAAACATAAAAACAGCTATAAGAAAAAGAGGAGAACTACAAAGCATAAAGGCCCAACAATGCCACATACTCGACTAATACTATTTATTAATCATTTTTAACATGTTTTTACATGAATCAAGAAAAATCTTAATCTTTATTAACTCTCATTTAAATTTCAACAATTTTTCAACATTATCCTTGTTTAATATATATTATATCTCATATGAACAACGCAATAATAAATAAAAGGTAAAATTATACATATATATATATATAATTTCTCTCAAGTGCTTTGTAAATAGGATCAAAAAATATCTTGTCTCTCTACCTTATAAATAGGACCAAAGGAATAGCTATGAATACTATCGCACTAGGAAGATGAAGACCACCATGAGTCTGAGAAGCAAAGCTAAGGGAAGTACCATTCTAGCTTTCAAACCACATCCCTAAGGAGATTGAAAAAGCAACAAGGGACACCCAGAACTAGAGAGAATCATAGCAACAATCTTCATGAGCTAGGAGAAAGGTGCTCAACCTACCGACAACAAAAATAAGATCAAAGCAACTTATTAACAAAAGATAACAACCAAAAAATGAAAAGTACACCCAAAAAAAAAAACACACAATGCCGACCCAAACATATTCTCATAATATAAGGTGCAAGGAAACCCATGCTTAAAATAAAATCCTTAAATTGTATTAATGTTTATGATCTCAGTATAGTTACCCTAACATTAAGAACTACATTTTAAGAAGTCAAAAAAGAGAGAATTTCAATTAAGGACCACTATAGACAATTTATTCAAAGAGTTCCCTTATAATTCTGAAATATCACTACAGTACAAAAGGGGGAAAGTGAAATAAATCTGTGAATAAAAAAGATACTATTGCCCCTCAATACTTCCTCTGAAATTTGAAAATTCCTCTCTCACTCTAGGCAAGGTGCTCCCAAAAATCTAACCCACTAAACACTTCCTTCTCTCAATCTGCAAAAGTTGTCAAACGTGCCCTCCAAACTCTTCCCTCTCTCACTTTGAAATCTCGCTCTCCCTTTCGCACTTTCAATACTCGCCGTCTGTCCATTGGTTATGGCACTCTGAAAAGTCGCAGAAGTCATCCAAAGAAGATTCATCGTCATCTGTTGTGCTGGTTCTCTTACTCTCAAAACTTGTCTATGGATATGTTATTATGCTTGAATAGATCTATTATTTCTTGCATATGAAAAGTCTCTATTTTGTGAGATACTTGATTGTTGCTTATTGTAGTAACGGTGGGTATCCTGTCTAACATATTTATAAATATGAGAATCTTGTTGCTTGAATGGGTGATATGAATGCTTTGATGTTGCCAAAATATATATTTGTATTGTAAATTTGCAAATTCAAGTTGTTTAGGAAAATGAAAATTTGGTGTTGTGAAAACTTCTATTTCTATTGTCAATTCGCAAATTCCTGTTGTAAACATATACTATGTTTAATTATTGAAAATTGATTGAAATTGATAATTGAATGATGTGTAACTATAGATTATAAATGACTATGTGAGATGAATTTGCATTTTCTATGTGAGATGAATTTGTGAAGAACTTACAACCACTATTGAGTGCTCACCATCCCAAAAGGCTTAGAACTAAGAAGATTGAATCACAAATTCTAGTAGAAGAAAGTGTATTATTATTTAAGATGTGATGAAATTGGTCACACTAGAAAAACTTATGGTAACCCAAACCCTATGTGACTTTATTGCTAAAAGTAATCCTTTTTTTTTTAAGTTAATATATAGCTACTTTTGTACATGAATGAACCTCAATATGTATTTTTGGATTTAGACTTGTGCATAAACTTTTTATTTTAAATACTCCACTTACGAATGGAATTTGCAAATTAACAATACAAATGCATATTTTGACAACATCAAAGCTTTCATATGACCCATTCAAGCAAAAGGATTCTCAAATTTATAAATATGTCAGACAAGATACCCACTGTTACTACAGTAAGCACCAATCAAGTATCTCACATAATAGAGACTTTCCATATTCAAGAAATAACATATCCATTCAAGCCTAATAGCAGGTCATATGCAAGTTTTGTGAGTAAGAGAACCATCAAAATGGACGACAACGAATCTTCTTTCGGCGACTTCTACAACCTTTCAGAGTGCCACAACCAAGAGACGAATGGTGAGTTCTGAGAGTGTGAAAGAGAGAGCGAGATTTCAGAGTAAGAGAGGGAAGAGTTTGGAGGGCACATCAGACGGTTTTTGCAAATTGAGAAAATGAAGTGTTTAGTGGGTCAGATTTTTGGGAGCACCATTGTAGAATGATAGCGGAAAATTATTATGAAATTTTGACCCTTCTATTTTCAAATTTCAAAGGAAGCATTGAGGGGCAATAACGTCTTTTTTATTCTCAAATTTATTTCATTTTCCCCCTTTTATACTACAGTGATAGTTTAGAATTCTAAAGGGGCTCTTTGAAATAAATTGTCTATAGTGGTCCTTAACTAAAATTCTCCCTAATAAAAAAAGATTCAATTACTGTTCAAATCAAAACAATCTACGCTGAAAATTGTGACTTAGTCATTAACCAGTTGACTTTAGTCAAACAAGAAACTAAGTGAAACAAATTGAATTATGTTAAAATCTACTAATTAATGTTAGACAAAACCTCATTCTTGATTGTTCTTACACTTTTTGATGTATGTCACGTGGTGTTTTAAGTAAATTCCTTAAGTTGGACTTCATATGGGTTTTCCAAATTTTGCTATCCACATCATTGAGCATTCATAGATTTTTTTAGGTTTTTAACATGTTGGAAATTGATTATAATTATTTATTTTGCCTTCTTAAATCTTCTTGTCCTTGTCACACATACCAATGATTCACTTGCCAAGGAGGCCTTTGTAGTTTGTAGATGCCATGTCATCCTATATATGTGTAACCCCGCATGATCATCCAAGCAAGCATTCTTCCATACAAGACTATAAGCTCAACTTGATTAAGCTTTGAGATTTCAGTAAACATGGATCATCTTGAACTCTTAAGAGGTTTAAGATTTGGGCTTCTTCTTGTAGGTCCAAATGAGCATATTTATACATTTTATGTATGTCTTATAAGTTATAAATAAGATAAGTCATTGAACACTTGTATTAACCGGAAACAAGATTGTTCCCTCTTAACTAGAGGTGGTAATGCGGGCTGGCGGTGCAGATACGGGCTAGCCTAAAGCGGTGCGGGCTGAAGTAGCCCACACCTTGGCAGGCTAGCATTTTGCCAGCCCGAGCCCGCCAAGGCGGGTTGGTGGGCTAGCCCGTCAGCTCGCCTCAATATTCTTTTTTTAATAAAAAAAAATATTATTAGTATAGGTTGAGTTTAATTTATAATGTTTAAATTAGACTTTGAATCTTGAATTTGAGTAGTGAGCTATAATAAAATAAAGTGGAGATTAATTTATAATTTAAGAAGATATTTTTAAAAACTAATATATTTTTTATAAATAATTAATTTAACTAGTTTTCTTATTCAAAGTAATTTAGTTTTCTTATCCAAATTAAGTAAGTAGATACTTTATGTGTAAATATATAAGTATCACATGTTTATTTAATTTTATAAAGGCTTTTATAGTGACACAACAAATAAATAAAAAATAAAAGATGGACGACGATCTTCGTATAACTACATACAGAATCACAAATATATAAAATGTTTAATTACTTATGCAATGATATGAAAGAAGCAATGTTTAATTGTTTATGTGAAATTTGAAGGTCAAAATATTTTAACTATATTAGGAATTATATGAAAATTTTAAAATAAAATAAAAAAAGCGGGCCAGCCCGCCAACCCGTGGGCTAGCGGGCTCAAAACGGTACGGGCTGGAATAGCCTGCACCTTGGCAGGCTGGCATATTGCCAACCTGAGCCCGCCCCCACGTATTACCAGCTCTACTCTTAACTAGGGACTCAACAACACAAGTGGTAGAGCCTAACCACTTTAAAGGG